CATCTGGTATGGTAGTCCCATAGGAGGGACTCCACAATCCCCCCCCCCAGAGTCTGCTCTCAGGCCCAGTTCTCTTGTGAGCTGGTTAGTATTGTACCTAACATGGTCTTTGTTGAGTGTCAGGGCCCTGTGGTTGAGCCCTGCTAGGCAGGACCCTCAGTTATGGCTTTCATGTGCACCAGTAGGTTGTGGTTGGTATCAGCCAGACCAGCTCAGATGTCCCATGTGAGCAGGTGCATTTGTTTGGCCCCCAAAGGTCCTCTGGTTTCCCTCCTCGTAACCACTGAGTCTCAGTGCCCTGCCCCTCCCCATTTACTTACAAGTATAGTAGCCTTGTTGATGGAAGTCTCCCAGAAGTCACTCCACCTGTCACATTCTCCCTCAGCAGTCCTTCCTCCCACAGACCTTCCTTCCTCCCAGACCTGCTTCCTTTGGCAATCCACAGCCCTCATGTCCGTGAGTGTGCAGATCCCCAAGCCCAGTCATCCAGTGCTGTGCTGTGCCAGTCTGGAGCCCTGCCTGTCTACCCAGGGCCCACTCATGCCTGTGCAGGAGTGGCGTGCCAGCCCCTGCCCCCCACTTAATCTTTAAAAAGAGAGAGAAAGAATACTCAATTATGCTGGCACACTGGTATAGTTAACACAAATTTGGCATTAACCAAGTCCAGGATGCCTGCCAGCTATTAGCTGTTTTCCCCCGCAGCGTAACACTTGCCTAGGTATGATGAAATCTAGGCAGTTGCCTACAACTGGGGAGGGTTGATTATTGTTTCGTCCTTAGGCTATGTGGATTGAGTTAAACTAACCAAACTCAAAGATGGCTTCATACACATAACGAAACCTCTTGGGAACTCTGGAATATTGTCAAAAATAAGAAACATTGTTTTTAGGGACCCACACTTTGGCATACCTACTGGCGTTGCTGTGGCACCTGTAGCACTCGTATTCCACTTCCAATCCAGCTCTGTACTAATGCGTCTGGGAGAACAGCAGAGGATGACCCAAGTGCTTGGGTCCCTGTACCCTTGGTGGGAACCAGAAGTTTCTGGCACCAGATGGGTCCAGCTCTGGTCATTGTACCCGTTTGGGGAGTGAACCATCAAATAAAGTATCTCTCTGTTGCTCTGCCTTTCAAATCAATTAATCAGTATTTATATATATATATTTTAATGATATGCTTAAATAGCAGATTGCTGAACTTGAAACTATTCCTAAAGGAGTCTACTACTGTGTTACTGTAGGGGAAAACAATGGGAGAGAATGTAAGGAGGAAAGCGGAATTGTATCATGGAAAATAATATCAATAAAAATACCTTTAAATGGAGAAACATTGTTTTCATACAAATTTAGCAGCTGGTTCTCTGGTTGCCACTTCAGCTGTAGACTTGGAACCTACTAGTAATAGCCTTGAATACCTGCTTAATCCCTCAAACAAGAAATGGCTTTGTGCTGCTTCCTCCAAGCTTGACTAGACTGGGCCCATTCCCCAGGGGCTTGGAGGTAGCACTATGGGTGGGACCAGGGAGCCTACCCAGCAGAGTAAATGGCTGTGTGTTAGCAGTTCTGGACAAGTAAGTAGAGTCAGTTTGCAGCTGTGGCAGCCCAGACTGTGTGCTTCATCCTGAGCCTGCAGACTGGTTCGTCCTGGCGCTGCATACAGGAAGATAATTTTCCAAAAAAGAAGAAAGACGAAATCTAAGTGATAAAGTAGAGAAAAGTTGAGAAATGTTCTTGCACATTCCTCTAGAAAGAATATTTAACATTTGCATTAAAATAACTTCAAAGAACAATTTAATGGCCATCTAATCACCAATTACAGTGAATTTAGTTTTTTGAATTGAACATATATTCTTTTCCTTACAGATGATCATGTGTGTATTCTTAAAATCTGTTCTTCACTTTTAGAAGCTACATTAAGATTAAAATTGGTGTAGAGGAAAGAGTGGCTTTTTTCCTGTAAATAGTTCTTAGACATAACTCATCTAAACCAAAAGAACTTCAAGATAGAATCTTGGAATTGTTGCCAAGAGTCATTGGGAGGCCTTTAAAAATAGAAAACATGCTCAAGGTTCAGTGACTAGTAAATATACTCCTGAATTTCAATATGGGAGAAAATGCTTCAGAAACAAAAGCAATAGATATGAATGCAGAAAGAGATTCTGGTTAAGTTGCTTAATATCAGTACCATGTGGCAGAGAACAGAATACCACCTGTCTTCTCAGTGATTGGGTTGATTTCCATACTAAATAATTAGTATTATTGCAGCGCCCTCCTTCAAAGACAAGAAATAAAACGTGATGTAACTGATTTTTTTTTCCTATGGCATTGTAGTATCATGCTGCCTTATGAACACTGTAATTAGAATAATATTCTGTTTCATCTACTTATTCAGCTTATGCATTGTGTGTGCAGAGAAGATGTTATTGGAATATTAGGGAGCTCTTAAATAACCGTTAGAATGGCTGGATAGCAGCAGGAAAAAACAGCTCACATTGAATTATCATTTTAGATATTGTGTTCCAAAAATTTTATGTGCACATACAAAGCCTAGAATAGAACATAAAAAAATGCTGAACTGAGGAGCTTATTGGTTTTTGTTATAAAGTCCCTTGGGCCACTACAAAGCGTGCTTTGTTTCTTAGCTGTTTCATTTTGAAATAATTTCAAATTTAACAATAGTTCAAACAATTATCTTCCTCACCCTCATTGACCAACTGCTAATAGCTGCCTTTGCACCTTCCCTCCCTCTCCTTAGCTAAACAGTTGTCTCCCTGTCACTGGAGGTTGCTTCTAAGACTCCCCCCACCAGAATTAAAGGATGCTCAAGTTCCCTGTGTAAAATAGTATTTGCATATAACCTGCGTACATCTTCTGTTTCTTACATTATCTAACATTGTTATCAATGAATGCTATACAAACAGTTGTTACACTGTATTGCTTAAGGAATCATAAGAAAAAGGAAATATGACCATGTTTGTGTATTTCTCCCAAATAAGGAAACCTCTAAAACCACTGTAGAGATTCACTTCCCTAAGTTTTCTGCTGTATATATTTCTAAGCTAGCGTTCCAGGTATCTGTTATGTTTATTTATTTGTGTCTTGGCAGTCTCCTACAGTCAGGAAAAATTCCTCCTTCTTACAGAAACTATATTCTAAGCTTCCATGTCCTCAACAGATACATAAAAAGTGAAAACCGTACAAAAAGTATCCTATAGGATGACCTCAGCTAACCTGTGTCTGTCCGACGTTTTATCAAAATTTGAGTAATCCCTTCATCAGGAATGCCACAGAAGGGGGGCTACTTTATGTAGCTACAGTCACAAGAGTCCCTTTTGTTGTTTTGTGAGGCATGTTTCACTGTTATACCAACACTCTGCTTCTCAACAGATCCACAGCTTCGGCTGGTGTCAGCTACCTCTGTGAAGGATGCCGAAGAACAAGTCTCACTGCTTCCTTCATTCCGCCTGTGTTAGCTAGTGCTACATAGGGAGCGGCTTTCCTTTTTCCCTCTTGCATGTGTTTAGAACGTTTAGAACAATATGAATGTTGGCCATTGTTAGGAATCTTTCTGGGCAGTATTTCTTGAGGCCACCATAATTTTCAGTAATTTCCTTTGAACAGAATCATGGCTCTCATTGTTTCCAGTACATTTACTTTATAGCTCATTGTAATCAGTCTTCAAACCATTTTAGCCTCTCCCCCCACCACCCCCCCCACCTTCCCCTGGATGCCCCTAGGTGCCCTGTACCCAACAATGCTGTCAGACACAGTGGTGATGCCCTCTGTGCAGCTCCCATTCTCCATCTCACCCCATTACGTGTGTTCCTGGGGGCCAGTGGGCGTGCTGCCAGTGCATGGTTGCTCTATGCTCTCTGCCCTATTCTGTGACCTGAAGGCAACAGGTGGATACGAAACACATTTATTCTGTTAAATGTGTTTTGGCCATATTTGAATAGTGATGTTCATAGTGACTTTTGTGGGGAGGGGGGGTTTCCTTGGAATTTATTACATTAATATAACTCAGTTTACAGATAGGAGAAGCTAGATGCACAATCATACATTTTTTTTTTAAAGATTTATTTTTATTATTTTTTATTGGAAAGGCGGATATACAGAGAGGAGATACAGAGAGGAAGATCTTCCATCCGATGATTCACTCCCCAAGTGAGCCGCAACGGGTCGATACTATGCCGATCCGAAGCCAGGAGCCTCTTCCTCTTCCGGGTCTCCCACGCGGGTGCAGGTTCCCAAAGCTTTGGGCCGTCCTCAACTGTTTTCCCAGGCCACAGGCAGGGAGCTGGAAGGGAAGCGGGGCTGCCGGGATTAGAACCGGCGCCCATATGGGATCCCGGGCGTGCAAGGCGAAGACTTAACCACTTGCGCCACCGCGCCGGGCCCCACAATCATACATTTTTAAGTCATCGTTTAGGCTTACTATGGTACTGTAATCTCCAGTCACAGTAGATTAAGAAAAAAAAATTTATTCTCTGTTTCTCTGTTTTGAAGATTCACTGAGATAGAATTGCTTTATGTTGATTCATTTTCCAGGTTGGTAAACTACTTAAATTTAGTAGCTTGTTGTTAATCTCCAAAACAGTATTTGCTCAGACCACGAACACTATAATGGACGAGGGTCTGCATCTGCATGTGTGTGTGTGTGTGTTAACTAAGTCTTCCCACTGTTGTTTTATGTCCACTTGTTAAAATTTAGAGAATTCCTCGTTGCTCATCTATTATAAGAAAAGATTCTTCTTCTAACATCCAGGGGAAATACTTATAAATGCTGCCATGCCTAGGAACTGTGTTAAATGTGCAATGTATAATGTGCATCCTTACAGAATGAAAAATGTGTTATTACCTTTGTATTATAGAGGATGAAAATGCATTAGCAAATTTGCTTTGTGTTGTTTAACTTGTTTACTAATTCATCTATGTTGTCTCGAGCGTTTTTTCTAAGTTTATAGTTTATTTTGATATGGACTGCTTAATTTACCTTCACAGTGATCGAAAATTGTACAGTTTGGGACTAAAAGGATACTATGTCAGAAGCAGTGACAACAACACAGGTAATATAAAACTGTGTCGCTCTTTTCAGATTAACCAACACTCCATGTTGATTTATGTATTATTTGTTGTAGTATTATATTATTAGCATAAAGTCATAGATGGTAAGTAAGAGAAATCTGAAATTATAATGAGTTTATTTCTTTACTCTTTCTGAAATCTCTGTCAAAGCAGACCTGTTATTTTCTGTAGCTCCCATGTAGTCTTTGTGTAGCCTAGTTTGTCCCTGGTAACATTCCTTCTTGGGCTGTGACTATTAGCAAGAACAGCCTAGAAACTGCAACTTTGTAAAGGAGAAATATAGGAGCCAGCCTTGTGACAAAGCAGATAAAGCCACTTGTTTCCTGTAGCCTGGGTGTCTCATATGGGCACCAGTTTGTGTCCTGGCTGCTCTCCTTCTGATCCAGCCCGCTGCTAGTGGCCCACTCTGCCACCAGATAAGGCTCCTGACTGCTGGTTTCAGCCTGGCCCAGTGTTCACCCATTGTAGCCATCTGAATAGTGGACTTCACATGGAAGATTTATCTCCCTCTGTTTGCACTCTGACATTAAAAATAAAGAAATGTTACTGGAAAAGAAAAAAGTAGAATTGTATAGTTTCCTTTTCGAATGAATTTGTATAAATAGCGATTCGGAAATTCCAGGCAAATATCCATTGCCTTTTTTCTGAAATAAAAAGCCGCCATCAAACTTAACTTTCCCAAATGACAAGATTTTCATGTTGAGCTTTTCCTTTGGTCTGTCCGACTTCCCTACCCTCGTCGTCCTTCCACGTGGACCCTTAATGTTTTGAGACTCACAGACTGCATTGTAGCCAAAAAGCAAAGTAAGCCCCCAAAGACTGCCTATCTCATTTACGTTTGAAACTCCCTGAACTTAGATGGTAAGGAAACACAGCCCTACATGCTCGGTGGAGCGCTGGGTGAAACGCTTGCTGCGTGTGTTAGTGCTGTCCAAAAACACTGTGCTGTCACTGAATGAAAGAAAATCAACACACCAGGAGAACCTGATACTAAGCCAGTCGCTCTCCCCGTTCTGTGCTCTCCTGAGCACTTTCAAGTTTATTGAATGAAAAACTGAGTAAAATCCTCTTCTGTGTCTGTTTTGCCCTCCTAGGTGCCTGTTCAGTAGAATTTGCACATGGAAAGTTTCTTTTCTTTTTGTCTCCATTTTGCCATGTAAGATTATGTATGCTATTACCTGAGATCATTAAACTTTTGTTATGATACTGTCTTAACTCAGTATCAAATGGCAATTCTAGGAAGTCTTTATCTTTTTTTTTTTCTTTAGTGAAAAGTGTGGTATTTGAAAGGACAAATATATGGAGTTGAAAGAATCATGTAACCTTAATCATCCAGCAGAGTATCCTAACGGGATCAGTTATTCCCAACTTAAAATTCAAGGCAGCTGTTACCTTTATCTCAATGAGAACATATTTGGGTAAAGTAAAATGTTTAGCTGTGATAGTGCTTTTTGCTCAGATATGAAATTGAAGAGTTTGAAAGAACCTTCTAGTTTGGTGAATTTTAAGCTTCTGAGAACAGAATGCTTTCAGTCAACCCTTTGTTGGAACCCTGAGACCTCCGTCCCCATTGTATCTCTCCTACAAACCTCTCCTACCTCATACTAAACAGCTCCTGAAGCAATTCCACAACTCAGGATTTTAGATCAACTGAGCTCAGACAGCAGTTTTGCAGATAAGCAATATGCACATGGAAATGTTTTCCCCTCAGTTCCACTTCCCTGTCCCCTCTCACTTCCATCCTCAGTGCTTTGTGTGGTGCCTGGTGCAGAGCAGACGCTCAGTCCACAGCAGGGCAGCAGGCTGGAAAGTGCCAGGCAGAGCTGGAGAGTAAACATTGTCTCAGTTCTTGTGACTACTTAACTCACAATCTACTCTTTTTTTTTTATCACTTAAGAATCATAATATTTACAAATGGTGTAATCATTCTAGTTCTTTAACATGAGGATAAAGAAAACTTGCCTGCAAATTTTCTCTAAAACAAAGTCAAAAATGCTATCTCTAGGAGACCAAGCTACAGAAGAAGAGGAGGAGGAGCGTATTTGTTCTCAGAGCACTGTGGAATCACACAGCAGTAAAGGCATGGGTCTGGATGAAAGTGAACTTGATTCTGAGGCTGAACTCATGAGAAGTATGGGATTGCCACTTCAGTTTGGTGGAGTATCTGCACAAAAGCATTTTGAGGTAAATCTTAATATTCGTTTATTACTTCTGTTTCTTAGTTTGGGTTTTCATAACATTTCACAAGCAATTTTAATCCCTAGAAAGGGATATATTAGTAAATGTACTAAAATTGCAAATTGTGACAGTTCCATGTATCTTCCTCCTCTTGGGAACAAAAATGGTAAGTCACTTGTTAGAACTAAAAGCCCAGGAGTTTTTTATTTTGTTTTTTTATTTTGTTTATTTCAATATTAAAATACCCTTGGATTCTACTTTCTTTTATAGTTAATGAAGTTATTTTATATCAAGTTATCATTTATCTCATGTAGGTATCTGTGAATACTAGAAATAAAGTTAAAATAAAAAAGAAAAAGAAAAAACATCAAAAGAAGTACTTAGATGAAATGATAAAAGAATCCTTGAGAAAGGAATCTGAAGAAGATGACTTTTTGGCCTCAGATGATCCTTGTACAGTTGAACACTGCGAGAATAAACTTCAGAGTGAAAAAGACATTGAAACTGAAAATCTTCCTGTTGAAAATACAACATCTCCAAAACTAGAAATTACAGAGAAATGGGAAAAGTATTGGAATGAATATGGAGGAGGACTGTTATGGCAGAGTTGGCAAGAAAAACATTCAGATCAAACACTGTCTTCTGAGCCTTGGAACTACCCAGAAACAAAAGAAGAATGGGAACAACATTATAGTCAAATTTATTGGTATTACTTGGAACAGTTTCAGTATTGGGAAGCTCAGGGTTGGACTTATGATGCCTCACAAAGCTGCAGTGCCAATACTTGCACAGCTAGAACAGAAATTGACAACCAGAGAGATGAAGATTGCATGAAAAGTGACTTAATATCTCTTCCATCATCACCTAATGCAGTTAATAATGAAAGCTGTAGTTGCAATGATAAGGATCATAATCAAATACTTGATGGGATTAGTAGTATGGCTCTGAATTCGGAGGAAATCAGTCAGAGCCAGTTAGATTCCTCAGTAAGTTGTGGTGGTCATCAGCAGCTGAACGGGGACAGCAACCAAAAAGAGTGCCCTGCTTCTGGCCAGAAGGAACCAAGTAATGGAGAAACAAAGGAGAGCAACTTCTGTGAGAATACAAACACAGACCAACCAGCCCAGGGTAAGAAGAGACAAGACTGTTTTTCTACTAAGTTGTAGTTAGCAATATAACTACTGCTTATCCTTTATGGTAGAGTTAAATGATAGCAACTATATTTCATGGTATAGTATTGAAATTATATTTCCATCCTATTTTTAGATCATAGTTGTGCAGTGCCCTTATGTATTGGTATGAATATTTGCATTCAAAGGTATCATTCCTTCTTACTCCTTGGTGGCAGTGAAGGAACCCTTGGCAGTCACTTAAGCTTAGAGTGAGTTTTGAACTTTCAGTTTTCCAGAACAAATGAGATGGTACATGGTATTAGAGAATGAGTTGGAACATACATTTGAAATTGTACAAACTTATGAGTCACATGCAGCATTCATTCAGAATAAAGGAAGTATTGCTCTATAGAGAATCTCAACAGGGCATGATATTAATGTATAACTAAAGGATTGGATTTCAGGAGTTGTTTAGATGAAAATCCTGGAAAAATGGCTGCTGATCTGTTACAGAGATAACTCTGTGGTTAACTTGTGTAAGTTTGCACAGCTATGAAGTAGTAGTACATAAATTTTTAAGCCTTATGAACAGTTTTTCTGAGCTCAGATTCTGCCTGTAACGAACAGGTAGATGTTGCCAGGCACTTTCCCTGATGCACAGATACAAGTCATTGCAAGAAAGACTCTAAAATATCTTGATTACTTTGGTGAATGACAGAAAAGTCATCAAACCAAGAGGAAAATCTGCTACATTATCTCTTCCTCTACAGATTCACAGGAGTCTTTGGGAACAAGCAAAAACAAAGGGAGATCCAACACCAGTGGTGTTGATGGAGATGAAAGTGAAGAAGATCCGCCTGAGAATAAGCCAAGCAAACTCAAGAGGAGGCAAGTTGCCCTTTACCTCCCTCTGCAGCATGCTAGTTAGCATGACATCATGAATGAATGGTTGTTAAAAACTTATACATACAGCTCTGCTGATCCCATGAGGTGAAAAGGCAGCCCTACATACAGCCCTGAACTTTTGGACCCTTGGTCAAATCCCAGCTTTGCCATTCACAAACTCTTAAGTTCATTTCCTAATTTTTCATCTACAAGATTGAACTAACCACTTTGTGAGATCATCGGGTAGCCTGGAGCTGACATGCAGTGTATGTGGCACTTAACAGTTGTCAAAGGGAAGTGTAGTATAGGGTAGATATGGTCAAATGTTAGTGCTGTAAATAACAAGGAATAGATGAGCCATTTCAGACATTTGGACCCTGATAGGAGACATTCCATTTCTCAGATTGGATGTAAATATTTCATACAGATTTTGAGAAAACGGTAAGCAAGCTCTAAAACCAGTAATTTGGTCCATGAATCACCTTAGTGGGGGTGTTTGCTGTGCTTGTTAAAATGCTCATGTCCCATATCCAAGTCCCTGAAGTGTGTGTGTTCAGCTCTAACTCCCAGTTCCAGCTTCTCCCCAGTGCAGAACCTGGGAGGCTCCCATGTCTGGGGCCCTGCCACCCATGTGGAAGACCTGGACTGAGTTGCAAACTTCTGTAACCAGCTGGAGAGTGAGCCGATAGATTGAATCAACCAATCAGTCTCCTTCGTTCTTTCCTTCCTTTCCCTCCGTCTCTTCTCAAGTAAAATTTTTTTAAGCCTGCCTCTATTCCTTCAGTGGAGTAGATATTGCTATTTTAGCTTCCTCATTGGTTCCTTCTAGTTTCTGGAGGGAGAGACCATGTGTATACTTACATTCCTGGGCCGCAATAGGTAATAAATAGAATACTCAGTGAACTTAACTGAAAGATCAAATGCTGTAAAAATTATTTCCCTTGGAACTCGTGTTGTGGCCCAGTGAGGTAAGCTGCCACATGCTATGCTGGTATCCATACGGATACTGATCCAAGCCCTGATTACTCCGTTTGCCATCCAGCTCCCTGCAAATGTGCCTGAGAAAGCAGTGCAACTTAGTCCACATGCTTGGGTCTCTGCACCTATTAAGAGATCCGGAAAGAGTTATTTTTATTGGAAAGTCAGATATACAGAGAGGAGGGGAGACAGAAAGAACTCTATCCGCTGATTACCTCCCCAAGTGTCCACAATAACTGAGCTGAGCCGATCTGAATCCAGGATCCCAGTGTCTCCTCTGGGTCTCCCATGCGGGTGCAGGGTTTCAAGGCTTTGGGCTGCCCGCAACTGCTTTCCCAAGCCACAAGCACGGAGCTGGATGGAAAGTAGGGCTGCTGGTATAAGAACGGACGCCCAAATGGCATCGCAGCATGCGCAAGGCAAGGACTTTAGCTGCTGGACTGCTGTGCTGGACCCTGGATTTTAACAAGGAATTATTTCTCACCATCTTTGTTTACTTGCTGTTATTTTGTTCCTAAAAGGTATTCCTGATAGATTCTCCTGGGTACTTCACATCACTTTATCATAACCTTATTCTCACTGATACGTCTTTTCAATCTCTTTCCTTATTTGTTTGTTTGTTTGTTAAGGGAAATCCGAGGGAGGAAGTCACTCTAATATATTAAGGCTGCAGCCTTTATGACCATCGTTCTGCAGGACAGTGGCGAGATCTGTGTTTTGTGCCGTGTTCTGGAATAGAGAATTCTAGATTTAAATGCCTGTTGTGCTGCTCTCTGTACTTAACCTCATTTGGAAAATCCTGACCACAGTTCTGTTTCTCCTGGCTACCAGAGTTTGTGAACTATGATAGATTAGTTTGCTGGCAACATTTGATCGACTATATGAGCTTTTTGGTGTTTGCTTCCGCTGTGGGTAATGGCTTGTCACCTTTTATCTTTGTTTCTTTCTTTAGCCATGAACTGGACATCGATGAAAATCCATGTGCAGAGTTAGATGACAACGGTGCCCTTCTAGGATTCAAGCATGGCTCAGGACAAAAGTAATTATTTGTAAAAGCTATTATCTTCCAGAGATTCTGACCACTTCTGCTAGTTAAAGCTGTCTGTTAAGCAGGTAGCTAATAAATATTACTATATTTGATAGCATTTAAGATGTTATAACTTGCAGTCAGATTTTCATCAGATAAGTGTAACTCATTATACATATGACTTATTCACATGAATTATCCCAGTTGTGCTTCATAGCAAACCAATGTTGTTTTTCCATTTCAAAAAGCAACTGAAGTTCACAGAGGTATTCACCGTGGTGAAAATCTGGTCATTTGCAGAGAAGAGATGCTTTATGATTTCAAAGCTGAGTTGTCTTGTTGCCTCTCTCACATGCCTAACCCTGTGTACATACGAGGACCATAAAGAGTGTAAATTCACATCAGCAATAGCGTCTTTTCCTTATGACAGTGAGAATACTGAAGTAGGCAAAACAAAAGGAATGTTAAGTAAACATCTTCAAATTATTCCCAGAAGTGTAAAATTTAACATGTTTCCTGACTTTACTCACATGTTTTCATGAGGATTACATGCATACATAGTACTTCCTTTTTAATAAAGCGTACAAAATGCAATCATATATACATGCTCTGCAGCTGACCATAGATAGCCTTCTTTGTTAATGCATAAAACATTTCTACCTGGCCCTTTCAGTCAGAGTATTGTGCTTAGTCAAGCATCCTAACTAGTGGTGTCTGGACTATTCCCTAAGGTTTAAGCCCAATGGCTGTGAAGTTCATACAGGTTATTGCACCTGTCGATCGTTCTTTCCTTCTTATTGCTGAATAGTAGTTCATTGTATGGCTACCAAAATTTGTTCATGAAATTTTCACCTGTGAAAAGGCGTTTGGATCCATTTCATAAAGATATGTGAAGCTTTGTATATAGAAAATCTGTGTTTTCTCTGGGATTAAATTCCCAAGCACGAAATAGAAGGAAAATATGAATAAGTAGGTAATTGTGTAAGGAAAAGAGGAGTTTTGTCATGCATGACATTAAAACTGAAGTAATAGTAGGTAGAAAATATTGAAGACCTGTTTAGGCCAGCTTGAAATTTTGACCTAAGCTGAGGATCATTGTATCTAAAGGTTGAGACATCAGATTTTTCTCCCCTACTTTATAAATTATGAAAAATTAAATGGATGCCTACACTTTAGGAGAACAGCGTGGAAAGGACATGGGAAACGGCTCTGATTGATCTTCACATCGAATCCAGTCTCATATAGAAGTACATGTTGGTCAAAAATAGTTTCTAAAGAGTACTATTTATTTTTTAATTTATTATTATTATTTAAGATTTTTATTTATTTTTATTGGAAAATCAGATATAGAGAGAAGAGGAGAGACAGAGAGGAAAATCTTCCATCTGCTGATTCACTCCCCAAGTGACCACAACAGCTTGAGCTGCACCGATCCAAAGCCAGGAGCTTCTTCTGCGTCTCCCATGCAGGTGCAGGGTCCCAAAGCTTTGGGCCGTCCTCAGCTGCATTCTCAGGCCACGAGCAAGGAGCTGGATGGGAAGCGGGGCCGCCAGGATTAGGACCAGTGCTCCTATGGGATCCCAGTGCATGCAAGAAGAGGACTTCAGCCGCTAGGCTATTGTGCCAGGCAATAGTTCATACAGTCATGTAAGCCTAATGATCATAAATTTCAGCAGTACAGCATTTTAAAATTTCTGTATAGACAGCATTACTGTGCACATACAGTCTTTTAAGAAATTAGTGAGTAGTTTTTAATAATACACACTTGGAGATTTCTACATTGTTGCCTGGGTTTCAGCCTAACTATTGTCTTATTTAGAGCATTCAGTTTTACTTTTAAAAAGATACAGGGTAAAATATTTTATGATAAAGAAGCTTATATGACTAGAAGACATGATATTTAATAACAGGCTTTTCTGGATTTTTTAAGTGCTAACATGTAATATTATACTCCTCAGTCCACGGCAGTTAATAGGAGAGGGAGTTGAATGAAACTTAGTACAGTTAAAGAAAACTTCATAGCAGATATACAAGCATATATTAAAGAACTTCTGGGGTCCCAGTGTGATAGCCTAGTAGCTAAAGCCCTCACCTTGCACGCTCTGGGATCCCATACGGGCGCCAGATCTAACTAATCCCAGCAGCCCTGCTTTCCATCCAGCTCCCTGCTTGTGGCCTGGGAAAGCAGTTGAAGACCCCAAAGCCTTGGGACCCTGCACCCGCGTGGGAGACTCAGAAGAGGCTCCTAGCTCCTGGCTTTGGATTGGCTAAGTTCTGGCCGTTGCAGTCACTTGAGAAGTCATTAGATAGGAGATCTTCCTCTCTGTCTCTTCTTCTCTCTGTATATCTGACTTTCCAATAAAAATAAATCTTTTCTTTTTTAAGTTTATGGGAATTGAAGTCTGAAAATAAATATTTTGATGCAAAAGTTTTTGAAATCCGTGCCTAGCTTTTCATAAGTACATTTGCCAAAAATTTTAAAGACTCTATACTTTCAGAACTGGAAAGATTCAGATAACTAAATCAGGTGTTCGCCAATCATTTGGATATGAATTTGCTTTTTTGTAAGCTCGGGTTCATTTAGGTTAAGAATTTAGTGGCTGGGCCCAGCGTGATGATCCAATGACTAAAGCCTTGCTTTGCATATACTTATATGGGCACCAGTTCGAATGTGGGCTGCTCCATTCCCTTCCAGCTCCTTGCTGTGGCCTGCCAAAGCAGTCGAGACTGACCCAAGGCCTTAGGATCCTCCCCCTGGCTGGGAGACCTGGATAAAGCTCTTGGTTCCTGGCTTCAGATCAGTTTCAGCTGTGGCCACTTGAGGAGTGAACCACTGGATAAAAGTTCTTCCTCTCTCTCTTCTCTAAACCTTGACTTTCCATAAAAATAAAGCCTTAAAAATTTTCATGGCCATTCTTAAGGGAGTTAGAATATGTCCAGCAACATTGAAGATATTTGATATTTATTACCCTGCCATGAGAAAATTTTCATTTTCTCAACAAGGAGAAATAATGTATTTTCCCCCTGCGGCTCTATCTTTGTTGCAACCCACTACGTCATTTCTACTTTATACTTTCCTGTTATGTAAGCTTCACATTTGCTTTAGAATTCATATACACTGTAAACCTTAAACTCTTACGTAATTTGAACCTTGATTATTTTATAACTTAAAGAAATTTAAGTGGTGGCCACTAATAGTAAAAAGCTAGTAGAAAATTGTTAGCCTATTCTCTCATCAAAGAAACAGTCTTGCAACTTGCGATGTGATCACTTCTTTTGTCCTGGTCACAGGTACGGGGGAATTGCACATTTCAGTCGTCGGCAGGTCAGGTATCTGGAGAAGGACGTGAAGCGTAAGTCAAAGTACCTGGATATGCGCAGACAAATAAAGATGAAAAACAAACATATCTTCTTTACTGAAGAAGCAGAAAAGTCATTTTTCAAGAAAAGCAAAACTCTGAGTAAGGTATGTAGAAATACTTTTTGGACTTACAGGTGGAGTCACATTTTGTGAGCCTGACCCCTTAAAACTGTAATATTTGATTGTGAAATTTATTTCTACCAGATAGAAAGGTACCTAAAATTCTTCTCCAATTTCTTCCTGAAGGCATATATTGCATAAACTTAAAAAAAAAAAAAAGCTGAGCCCTGTAAAATAGAAGACAGGAATGTTGGAAAGTTATAAAATAGCCACGGCTCAGAAGATAAGTAAGACAGATTGCCTTGCCTCTATAGCAACATGCAATGATGAGGAAATTCTTCAGGCTGAGTAGGACCTTGGTAGTCCAATTCTGCTCTAGCTTTTGCTGTGAGCCTCACGTCTGAGCTGGTCCAGAAGTGGTCAGTCATGCTTTAACAGGTTCACCATGATGACCTGAAACGTAAGGCCAAAGTGTTGTTTCCTGTAATAATCTGAAGCATTCAAATCCCGTCTCTTGGACTTTGCTGTGCCTGCCATGCAAAGGTGTAACTAGAACGCTACCGGGTTTAATAAGTTATTTTTCTACATTCTAGGGGGGAATAAAGCACCTTCTAATGAGCCTAGCCTTGATCAGGACAGAACCTAATCTTAGACCTCATGATGATTTTGTTTTATCGTCAGAGTGCATTTTCCTTTCTCACTTAAGTATTCTTAGAAAACAGGCTACAAAAAAAAAAGAAAGCAGGCTACAATTTTGTAGCTGGTTTTGTTATTGTTATTTCACATTGGTTGGTAGCTGATGCGTTTTCAAGTATGTTTTAGGGGTCAGAGCATGGAATACAGGCTAATCCTCCGTCAGTGGTGCCAAGATCCCATATAGGCGATGGTTCAGGTCTTAGCTCCTTCATTTATATGCAGTGCATTCTTGTTACTGAGAATGCTGAGAAGTAATTCATCTTAACTTGAGCTTTTCATGAACATTTCAAAGAATAACTACAATTTGTTAGGACTGGTATTTCTGACCTTGTCGCTTCATTAAAAGACTGCTCTCATTGTTTCCAAGATAGCATTGCTTTTGTTCTTAAAGACAAATTTACACTAAGTCATTTAGAATTCATCTTTGACACTAACATTTAGCCTGGACTATAGCTTGGCTATTGCAACATGCACTTATGTAATCTGAAAAACTAAAATTGATAGTTCAACACTAAGTAAACACATTTCTAACAGTAATATCTCACAGTTCAGATTGGTAAAGCCTTTATGGAAAACTGCCAAAGTAGTTTATTCCTTTTAGGGTTAATTGATAACAAAGTATTTCATCAGTGTTTTTTTGTTTCTGTTTTTTTGGTTTTTTTCTTTTTAAAGAGATCTTTTATAAGGTCATGGTTTGCACAGATAACAAATTCTAATTAGCTCAATTACACTAAGACACAGTAGACTTCTCAGAGCTAATTACGACACAATTTATCATTGAAGTCAAAAATGGTAAAAGATGGAACAGTTCTTTGTAGTTTATAATTTATTCTGATGATTATATCAATATTGTAGGTGGAAAAGTTCCTCAAATGGATTAACGAGCCAGTGGACGATGAGGCATCCCAGGAGTCGTGTTCTCACAACAACACACAGGACACTTGTACGAGCAGTGATTCTGAGGAGCAGGATGTGTCTGTTAGGACAGCAGGTGGCCTGCTGGGAGCTAGTAAGGCAGAACCTGAGAAGGGTCAGCCTGCATCTGCAGCTGCTGAACTTGAACTTGAAAAAAGTGAAGGTGACGGTTTGGTGGCAGCTGTTGCAGACAAGCAGGATTGTGTTACTCAAGATAACACAGATTCCCTCCAGGTAGAAACTGAAGGTAAGACTGTGCCAAAGCTGGTTGGTGGACTCCACCAAGTACATTGTTTCCTTCATCTGTTGCCCTTTGGTGTTCACTTTGAATTATCTGTATGTAAGGGTTCACTGTTTAACATTAAGAGGCAGAAAGTCATATTAAACATAAATGTGCTCATTTGCATCCCACCGTCTGAGCAGGACAATGAAATCAAAGGCAAAGCACGTGGGAACACTGCATCCGGTACATGTAGCTCAGGTTTTTTTTCTTTTTAAAGATTTATTTTTATTATTATTATTTTTTTTTTTATTGGAAAGGCGGATACACAGAGAGGAGAGACAGAGAGGAAGATCTTCCGTCCGATGATTCACTCCCCAAGTGAGCGCAACGGCCAATACTATGCCGATCTGAAGCCAGGAGCCTCTTCCGGGTCTCCCACAAGGGTGCAGGGTCCCAAAGCATTGGGCCGTCCTTGACTGCTTTCCCGGGCCACAGACAGGGAGCTGGAAGGGAAGCAGGGCTGCCGGGATAGAACCGGCGCCCATATGGGATCCCGGGCGTGCAAGGTGAGGACCTTAACCACTTGCGCCACCGCGCCAGGCCCAGCTCAGGTTTTTTTCTTTGATAATTGTTTTTTCCATGTGGTTGTTGCTGGTAGTTTGGTTTTTGCTGTTTCATTAACATTAAAGTATTCACAGTAAGTGGCTATAGTAATTAAAAATAATAACTATTCAGTGGGACATTGTGATCTATAAGATAATTTTCATTAGACATAGCATTCTATTTACTAATGAATTGTTTCATACTAGGCTTATGAAGGAATTCTACTTATTATAATCCATCATTTATTTCTTAATTTAGTGTTAAGAATAATACCTTGAGTCTTGATTTTTTGGTACTTGTACCTATATGATCTGTGTTTATCTGTATCATGTATTTCTCTTTTTCTCAATGAGAGTTAAATATTTTCATTGTCAACATCCTAACAATTCATGTTTGCTTGATACTTGCAGATTTTTTAATTGCTTTCTCATACTTATTTAATCTGTTAGGGAGAATTCTCTGTTCTGTAAATACAAAAAGGACAGCTGAATAGTTAAGAAGCTAGCCCAAGCAACTGGCCTGGCAGTCTTCCGTTTTCCCATGCTTCCCCATTCCATGCACACCAGTTGCGGTGATGCTGGGAAATCTCACCTCGGCTGCTGCCTTCACAAGGGCATCCACGAGAAGTTGGTTGGTACAATCTATTCTAGCGTTTAGTACTAAGCTCTTACCTTTGTGTCACAAATAGTCTTACACAACAAATTGTCCCCCCCCAAAAAAAGTCATAATCGCCCCTGTTGATAGTAATAGTGAGTGAGTGCTGCTATTGATGACTTCTCGTGTGACTTAATCACTCCACCACATGAAGACAGTTCTGTTCTTAGGACCATTTACTATGATAAGAGTTTTGCTTCTTGTCCATTGCCACCTTGTTTTTATAGTTAATTTTGACAGCACTCTGCTGTTTCTACATTGCTGCTTAAGATCAACTTAAAACTAAAACCAAGTAACCAAACTAATAAATATGACTGTCTAAAAGGAGCGTGTCTTCTGAATGAGCAGAGCCTTTTCTGTGCAGGCGACTTGTGACGCATGTGGCACTTTCTCAGACACCACACAGCCTAAAGTTGACGTGACTGGGAGCCATGCCTGCTTTTCTGCACTGTTCCATACTTATTCTGGAGCACAATCCAAAACTCTCAGTATTTGTAAAATTTACCTATTTTATGGTGAGCATCTGTATCTTTGCATTTTATTTTAGCTGAAAACAAAAAGAAGAAGAAGAAGAAACTCAAGAACAAAAAACCGAATGGCCTGCCTCCCGAAATAGCTGCTGTCCCTGAGCTGTGCAAGTACTGGGCCCAGAGATACAGGCTCTTCTCCCGTTTCGATGATGGCATTAAGTTAGACAGAGGTAAAGTGGATTTTTAAACATCAGGAGGTTTTGGGGTTCTGTGAGCCTCTTATAAGAAGTTGCCAAATGCTGTATCTTGTGGAAAGGACTTAGGTGTTTCTCATGAGAAATGAGACTAGGGAAAACACTTGTATTTCAAAGTTTATGCTCTTAATCATCCTTGAATAAAAAGCCACTTGAAGTTTTGGTAAGGAGACGGAGTAGGAAAATTAGCACATGATTTTGTTCAAAGAAATGCCCTTTTTATAACTCTGAATAATCACTTTTCCATTAGGAATTAAATGATTTTGAATGCTAATGGAGGGCAGGGAGCACACCAGTTAGAACATCTTGCTTCTCATTTGCCGTAGTGCGTAGGCAGTGGTTGATTCTTGCACCAGAAACATCGCAGTTGTATTTAGTTACAGCAGAGTAGGGTGTATTACAGAACAACCAGGTTAATTAAGTACCATAAGGATTGTTTCTTTGGACATTTGGAATAAGAATAATATTACCCCTTTCCATAGCAAGTTTTGTAGAATTTTTTTTTAAATAGACCATGCGTGTGTGTGTGTGTGTGTGTGTGTGTGTGTGTGTGTGTGTGTGTGTGTGTGTGTGTTTGTTTAAGAAAACTAGGCCTTGGCTTTTTAAGAGTATGTGGCGTGTAGCAGTGTTGATCATGTCTGCTTGGCCTGGCTTCTCGGTTTGGAGCCACCTGTTGAACAGACACTCTTCCTGAACAGAGGGCTGGTTCTCGGTCACTCCCGAGAAGATCGCGGAGCACATCGCCGGCCGCGTGGGTCAGTGCTCCGGGTGCGACGTGGTGGTGGACGCTTTCTGCGGAGTGGGAGGAAACACCATTCAGTTTGCCTTAGCAGGAAAGAAAGGTAAATGACCCTCAGAGGAAGATCACTTTATTGCTAATTCATGCAGTAAAGGGTTTATTTTGCTTCCACCTATGTTTTAATGCAGCGTTGGTAAATTAATACCAAGTATTTAAAGTAATATTTTAAGAAGCAATGATGTTTTAATTGCCTTTTAATTTAAAAAAAATTTAAATGACAAAACTAACAGGAAACTGAGCATTTTCATTGTAGCATTTGCTGGTGTACGTTACTGTGTCTTTATGTAATCCACAGCCTTAGAATATGTCTTTTACCATCTCTCTTTAGCCGATGCATAAGGACTACACAGATGTAGTAACCCAGCTAGGACTTTGAGGATAGTAATTGGTTGGAGCACAGTCATCACATTCTGCAGTCAGACACGGGAGGCTCTTCTTTCGAACGTGAGAACAGAGTTCAGGGAGTCCCAGCCTCACTGCTCACTCACTCTCCATGACGCACGCACACGTGTGAGAAAATGGCTTTGTGCAAAATTGACAGTACCCTCTGTAGCAGATTTTATTTAAGATTTACTTATTATTTTTATTTATTTATTTATTTATTTTGTATTGGAAAGTTAGATATACAGAGAGGAAGATCACTCCTCAAGCAGCTGCAACGGCCAGATCTGAGCTGATCCGAAGCCAGGAGCCAGGAGCTTCTTCCAGATCTCCCATGCAGATGTAGTGTCCCAAGGCTTTGGGCCATCCTCAACTGCTTTCCCAGGCCACAAGCAGAGGGTTGGATGGGAAGCAGGACCACTGAGACACGAACTGGCACACATGAGATTCCAGTACGTGCAAGGCAAGGACTTTAGCCACTAGGCTACCACACTGGGCACCTGTACCAGATTTTATACTTAAATCTGTGCATGTATTCAGCTGAGTAGTTAGGGACTCTTCAGAATTATGTGTTTTTCATGTTAAAAAAAAATTTTTTTTATTTCTGTTTTCTAGTGTTTTAGTGCCATTTCTAAAATACAAGAATTTCTGATCACGATGGAAATGTTCCGTATCTATGTTGTTCAGTACAGCAGCCGCAAACCATGAGGTTACTGAGCACTTGAAATGTGGTGTGTGACTGAGAATATGTACTTTTAATGTTACTTCATCTTAGTTTAAAAGTAATAGCCACATATGACTAGTAGCTGCAGTTATCGGACAGTACACTTTTATGCAGTGTTACCAACCATTCTTTATCTGAGCACTGGAGTTCAGCATCTTAAGCTTCTGTTTGGGTTGCTCACTTCCCATTGTTGGACTGTTGCTTCAAATCCCAGTTACTATGCTTTCAGTCCAACTTCCTGCTGATGAACCGGGGGTGGGGTGGCAGCTGATGGCTGGAGTGCTTGGCACCGGCCACGTGTGTGGGAGACCTGGATGGAGTTTCAGTCTCCTGGCTTTGGCTTGATCCAGCTCTGACTGGAGCAGGCATTTGGCAGCCCCCTCCCTTTCCTCTTATTCTTCCCCCTCTGCTTTTTAGGTAAGTTAAAATAAATATACATTTAAAAAAATACATTCATTAGGGCCCAATGCAGTGACCTAGTGACTTTCTCTGAGCTATTCCACTTTTCATCCAGCTCCCTGCTTGTAACCTGGGAAAGCAGTAGAGAATGGCCCAAGCCTTTGGGACCCTGCACCCGCATGGGAGACCCAAAATAGGCTTGAGGCTCCTGGTTCCTGGCTCGAAATCAGCTCAGCTCCTGCCATAGCAGCCACTAGGGGAGTGAATCAAAAAATGAAAGAACTTTTTCTCTGTATCTCCCCCCCCCCATATATATATCTGCCTTTCCAATATAAAAAAAAAATAGTAATAATTTTTTAAAATACATTCATTAGCTTCTAATGCGTGTATTAGATAAGTGCTTACATTCTGTTAAGCATATACACAAAGTCTGTGTCCAAAAGAAAGAAAGATGAAAATAGGATTAACTGAAGAGGTTAGAAGTTAAGTGTAACTTTTTTTTTTTTTCAGTTTTGGTATTGTCATCCTGTCTTTTCTATTAGAAATATAGCTGATTGAGTTGTAATTGCTAGTTTCTTTATGATAGAAAAAACAACGTCATAGCTGCATAATTTTGCAACATATAAATGGTGCTTGTCTTCTTTATACAAGTGACTTAGTGCATTATTCCCAAAAAGTATTTCAAATATTGAAGCTAGTATTTCCTGGGAAACTGATACATTCCCTCGATGATGACACTGTATGTGTCAGGGTTTCACTTAACCTGCTCAGACGCAGAAAACTACTTCTGACAGCAAACGGGTCCACATACAGTGCACTGGAGTGATTTGCTGCAAGATACGTGAATATGTGTGAGCTAAAATCAACCTGCGTTTGCATTGCTAATTATGAAATTGTATTGAATCAAAGCCCTTCAGGTAAAAACAGCAGATTGCCTCTACCTGAAATAGCTCATTAAATATCAGCTGATGTTCTCATGTTTCTTTGTTACTTGGCTCTGCAGGTTTATAAAAACATGTCTGTGTGTGATTTTCTGGAACACTTGTCAGATTTATCATCATCTGAGTGTTTGTTTTGAGGCAGTTTGTATTTGCTGAACCTAGCATCATGGTGTGTGTTCTGGACGGAGCCTTGTGCAGCGCCGTGCTCAGTGTGTAGACTGAGGCAGCCCTGGTCACTTGCTTGGGCAGAGCTGGTCAAGATCCTGGAAAGCCTGCCTGGAAAGGTGTAACACAAGCGAATCTTTCTAATTTAAGTACAATGTTTATAAAACTTCTATACCTCAGGTGTATATTGGCCACAAGAAATAAGAAATAAAGGTTCTTATGCAGAAGACAGACAAATCTATTAGCAAGACAAGCTGTTCTTTGTTTCTTGTAAGTACTAATCAGTGTCAATTGATTATGTTCTTTTCCTTTCCCAATTTCAGTGATTGCCATCGATATTGACCCTGTTAAGATAGATCTTGCTCGTAATAACGCACAAGTTTATGGGATAGCGGACAAGATAGAGTTCATCTGCGGAGATTTCCTGCTGCTGGCTCCTTCTCTAAAGGCCGATGTTGTGTTCCTCAGCCCACCCTGGGGAGGGCCAGACTACGCCACCGCAGAGATCTTTGACATTAAGACAATGATCTCTCCTGATGGATATCCTTTGCAAGCTCTAAGAGTGTACTCGGATGATACTCGTGGCGAGGAATAAATCTATTAAAGAGAAAGAAAAATTGGTGAAGAGGGAAGATGGTTGTTAACGGCAAGCATGGAGTCAAATTTTCTTGGTTACTGTCCAATTTTACCTTTCGAAAACAAGAATACACCCAACTTGTTATCTGAAAATTAGGAATGTTCTCCAAACCTATTCCTAGAGTCTTTGGGTGACCCGTATCCTATTCTGCTCACATTGAAACTGACTGATTCACTGTGTATCTTCCAAATATTGATTTTTATTGCAAAGAAGTGACTTTGTGCATTCCTATTTTGTGTTCTATTTTCTCTGTAAAGAAATAGAAAGAATAATAACCAGTGCATTTCTGGCTCTTGGCTGCCTTACACCAGGCTAAATGAATACGTAGATTTAGCTTGCGTTTTCTAACCTTTGTTGCTGAAGTATAGAAATTTCTTGATTAATTCTCTTTTAGTTCCATTAGAGAATTAAACGTGCATTTGAGAATGAGTAAGAAATCATCTTTCTGATCAGACAGTAACCTGTTTTTGTTAGTTTTCCTTAACTGTTCTCTACTTTTGAAATTTTCAAGCTTTCCCAGAAGATCACTAATAATATCATTTATTTTCTTCCAAGAAATGCTGATGTTGACCAGGTAAGCCATTACTGAAGAAAAGCAGAAAAGACACAGACTTTGTGTTACCAGGCAGCATGTCAAGAAGGCAGGAAGGGCCTGGCAGTTAGATTCCTTTTCTGTCATTTTCCTCTGCGCACTTCTGGCAAGCAAGACACAAAGGGAGGACTCCAGACATTGACTAAGACAGATTGGAAGGATGATAGAATATGTTGTTTCAAATGCTGAATGGTTAAGCTGACCATGATCTGACTTTACCGAAGCTTATTTTAACTCTGAAGAATTTATCTTTATTATTTCTTCAACTGTGTTCTCGTTTTTTTTTTTTTTTTCCTCCCTTTGGTGAATATCTTATGTAAATGCTAGCCTTCCGTATCTGTATTTTCTTTATTGCCTTGGTCTGGTCTCTCAGGCCTCTCTGTTCTATTATCAGGTCAAATTTGTTCTTTTTCAATGTCATAGTTAAGGGTTTTATATTTTTAGCTGAATACACTTAAAACTACTTGCTACCCTGGTCCACTAGGAAGGATTGGCTGTGATTCATTTCCTGGGACTTAAGTTCCCTGAGCTGACATAATGTGCTCCAAAATGTGATCCTCTAGTTTGAAAAAAGAGCAAATGAAACTAACAAGCCTGAACTCTTACTTTGTACATGAGAAGAAGCAGAAGTTAAATCCTGCTGCCTGTCACACCCAGCCCATCATGTGTCTAAGCATCAGGCCTTCCAAAGTAGAGCGTGTTGTACTGGTGATGAAAGGACACTGTCCTTTTGCTTCGTGAGTTGTATAAACTGATATTTATCCTGGTGTCTGCTATTCGTGCGATTCAGAGCTGCTTTCTGGATTGCCAGTTAGGGCCCAACCCTGAGGCATGCTGAGAGTTCACTGGGCTGTATCATGACTTTTACGTTAAATATAAATAAACACATTTGAGTACTTAAATGACAATAGGAAGTTCAGTGTTTGTCAGAAGTAATGCTACAGTGATTAAACTTTGAGAGTTTAAACTCTTTCAGAGAGAGAATGTAATTTTCCTGGTTTATCTCAAAAGCCTGTCGGACAGAAGGTTGTTCAGATTTTCTGCCACTAGGGGGAGCAATACACTAGCGTATAAGAAGTAAGGGAAGATGAGAGGTTCCAAGTACATTGTTTCGTGATGGTGAATTTAGATCAAATTCTAGTAGAGAAATTAACGTTTTATGTTAAAATGAATAAAATTTATCCATGTATAAGCTTTTTTTAATGAGAGGAAACAGTACTACAAGAATGAGAAAAGTCAAATTTGTAAAGAAGTTGTCCTCTCTTAAGGAGTATTTAAGATGCCACAGCATACTAAACTTAGAAATGTGTTGGATTCCCAAAGTCATGATTCTGCTATTTGAAACCAAGGCTGCATTTTTCGCAATGGAATGTCTACAAAGAACAGTTAACTTCCCATTTAAGGAGGTTGTACTGAATAATGTTTATATTATTCTAAAGTGAATGTGCACGGGACACAAACACAGCTGCTTGCCTTGCGGCTTGTCTGTGTCCAAGAGGATGCTGATTGTGTCCTGTATCCCTTTTTCTGTTTGCAAATTATTGCATCTCTGGATATCCACATTTTTATTATCAAACCCAGGAACTGAGGAATTTAAAAACATTGTTGCTGAGAGGCTGTTGGAAGTAAGGTATCCCTCGCCTTGCTACTGGTACCTAGAGTAGGCTTGCCTCAGACAGCCCAGGGCGCGTGTGTTAATGTATTACACCGTGCTTTCCTCATTGCTTCTCTTTGACAGAAATGTTTTAATCTACCATGATTTGTAACATGAAAATTTTATGGTTTTTTGTGCTTTTTTGTAAAAGATCTATTTATTTGAAAGAGAAAATGACAGGTCTTCCACCCTCAAGCTTGCTCCGCAGATAGCTGCAGGGACCAGGGCTGGGCCAGACTGCAGCCAGGAACCTGGAACTCCAGGTTCTCTCTTGGGTGACAGGATCCAAGAATTTGGCTAATCTTTTGTTGTTTTCCTAGGTTAATGAGCAAAGAGCTAGATTGAACACTGAGCAACTGTTTTGCAAACTGGGGCTCATGTGGGAAGCCAGTATTGCAAATGGCAGGTGTGCCCCAACTCGAGCCATGAAAACATGTATTGAGTAGTAAAACCCTAACAGGTGGGCACAGGTCTCTGAGCAGACTATGATGTTTAGTCTCCTGAGGGGAGCAGCAGGCAGCAAGTGCCCGGCACCACCCTATGTGAAATTCCTGCCAGTGGACTCTGACGTGAATGGTCTGTCTCTTAGCTGGGCATGATGCAAGGAGTGGCTTCTGGTCTGTTTGATGAAGTAGCTCCTTCCTCTTTTGATTTTATTCTAGACACAGGGTACAGCCTTGCGGTAAATACTTGTGGTAAATACTATAAATACAGTATTCCAGCAGGTGGAAGATCATTGGTCCTGGTTCAGGAGCCAAAGCACATGAGAGTAGAAAAAGGGGTAAGAACTGGATTGCACTTCTGCTGCACACATGATCACTGTAGGCGGGGAGGGGAACTGCAGACTGATGGACCTCCCAGGGTGGACAGCTGCAGTTTGGCCTAAATACTTCTGAACATGACTTGTATTTTCTTCACTACTGTCTATGCATTCATCTCTCAGTAAATGATATAGATAGAAAAAAAAATACTGGAGTGCCCAATTCTGTGCCTACCCAAGTGCTGCCTGTTTGTGTCTTACGCCTCATCCATAGATTCCCGATCTGGGAAGACTCTGGTCTTCTGTATGCTGTAGCAACTTATGGAATTAGGAACAAACCTTATGTTTCCAGAATCTACACCTAGGTGTGGATAAGAGCAAGTGAACCAGTAGATGGGAGATCGCTCTGCCTTTCCGCATGTGTGGATAAATAGAGCTAGTGAGTTAATTTAAAAGTTGCCTAGTTTTCCACTGATAAATGTTTTATTGTACCTGTCATGTTTTTAATCAACTGACTTACTTCTTTGTGTAATTTTTAACTGAATGGAACAAAGGAAAATGGGGGCTAAAGGAATTGGGAGTGAGCCCTCTCGTTTGATTGCCATGAGGCTTCTAATCACAGCCAGTAGTTCTCAAGCTTTGTGCTCCTGTCTTTGTATCAGGCTGACATCTGTCAACCTCATAAACTACTGTTTATTTTTACCTGGCACCAAGGTCTCAACCCAACACTCTGCACTTTGTAGATACAGTCACTTCCCTAGTGTGCTAACAGGGCATTTCTCTGTGCTGTAGTTTTAACGCATCTCTCTTAGAATGAAGTGTTCTTGTCGTTAATAGCCATTGTATAGTTTTGTTTTAGGACCAGTCCGGAAGGTTTCTTTCATTCAGTTACTATTCTTTGTTACTTTAAATCTATTTTCTTTTTGTGTGTTTGGCTTTTTCTTCTTTTTAGGATTTTTTTTTTTTTTCAATTTTAAAAGCAAAGTTAGAGAGAGATAGCTTCCGTCTACTGGTTCACTCCTCAAATGGCAAAAACAGCCAGAGCTAGACTGATCCGAAGCCAGGAACTTCTTCCAGGTCTCCCATGTGAATGCAGGGGCCAAAGGGCTTAAGACATCCTCCACTGCTTTCCCAGGCCGTTAGCTGGAGCTGGACCAGAAGTGAAACATCCGGGACATGACTGGCACCCATATGGCATGCCAGTGCCCCAGGTGGAGGTTCATTAGCCTGCTATAACATGGCACCAACCCTGAGTGTTTGACTCGTCCATCTTCTATACTTTTTTTCACTGAAGTCATCACTTTCGCTGTGTCCTTTTTCCCTTTTGTCCTTTGTGTAGTTGATTAAAGTTTAGTCCATCCTTGTAGCCCCCAACCAAACTAATCATGCTTTATTTTGGTAGAACAGATATGTTAGGCAATATGCCACAAATAGCGTGAACTATAACCCAGAACTGCTTATCATTACCGATTTGTCTATCTGCTGTTCTCCCTATCCCACTCTCCTCCTTCTTTCTCTTTGCCCGGTCTAGAGGTATGCTCATCAAAGCAACAGCACCCTTTGGCATACCCTGGGTCTCAGGGCAGGGCGGACTGAGCTAAGCTTCAGTACCTGTGGGTATGCACAAGAGCCAGATGTGATGTGGGATGGGCCAGGATAGGCCTCAGCACTTACTGGCACGTGCCAAAACCAGGGCTGGGGTGGGCCTTGTAGGGGTTATTGGGAGATGTCCCAACCAGGCCACAGCACTCATCAGTTCACGTGAGAGATAGGGCCGGGCTGGAACTGACCAGATAGCTGCATCCTCCGGTATTTGCATTGGCTGGTGTAGGAAAGAGACCAGACCCTGTAATAGTTGGCACACACAGTCAATTCTGAGGTCACCCCAGGTGAGATTTCTTGGGGGACTCCTCTACTAGATAATTGGTCTCAAATCCCAGGCATAGGGAAAATCAGGATATGTGGTCCAGCCTTGGAGCACGTATATCAGGACTGGACCTCCTCAGTTGCCGATGCCTGTGCAGTGGACCAAATGCCCAGATGCACACGAGAGACCTGACAGCCAGCTCATCTAGGACAGCAGAGGATGGCAAGTACCTTGTCAGAGGATGCAAAGCAGCACTCTCCTGACCAAGCTTGTCTGCAAGTGTCTGGGTCTGTGGATGCACTGAGGTGGACTTGGTCAGCCAATGGACTTGGAAAAGATTTTCGCAATGCTGGTACCACAAAGCCAGCAATGTCTCAGAACTGTCAAAACCACTCAGGAAAATTCATCTCCACATCAGGATCTCCAAGACATCGTCAATTGACTGTCTCCTATCCATGGGTGCTGATGTAGTTTGGCAGCCAAGAGTGGTCCCCTCTCCCCAACCTCTTCTTCCTGCCACTGCACCCAGCAGACCAGGAGAACAAAGAGAAAAGAATGGGGGAGGGGGAGGAGCAGGAGCAGTACCACACCTAAATCATACTCATACCTAATTCATAGAGAAATTATTGAGAAACAGTTGAATTTTAGATACAGTGTCAGAATGCATTTCGTCAACTATAAAGACAAAATTCTTTGTTTTTCATTGTCTTGTATTGTGAAGAATATGAGTGACTTGAAGCTGACCAAATGAAATATGAACCAGCTATTCCTAAGCATAGACTCTGAAACTATTTGGTTATTTTTAAACTTACAGTTTTGATTTTGAAAAATTTTTATACACAGTGATGTGAGTATGTGGGTTTTTTCAGTCATTTTATGGGACACCATGTTTGATTTTTATCTGTTCCTGGTGGTAAAACACAATCTCTTTGGTGCTTGTTTAAGAATGGGGATAAGTATTGATGTTGGCATTATTGACTTGGAGAACCAACTGTTTTTTTTTTTTTTTTTTTTTCAGAACATACCATAAAATAAATGTACCATAAAGTGATGTACTGGTTCTTCCCTATTTCTATATCTGTAACTTCTTTGCTAAGAGGAAGTTCAAATATTTTAAAATTCAGACTTAACTGGTAATACATAGTACATCTTGCCTCCTACCAAATGCGGCTGCAGTGTATATAACACCCCAGGGTGAATTGTCCAGTTAAGCTCCTGCTAGAATATATGAAATGACAGTAAAATAGGCCCAAGTATTCAGGCTCCTGGCTTCAGTTTGACCCAACCCCTGTATATAGAGCGTTACCCAGCAGATGGATCTCTGTGTCCCTCTCCCTCTTTCTGCCTTTCAAACAAATGTAAAATAAAATTGGGACAGAACATGTGTGGTTTAAAGTGCCACAAAGGTGTGTACTGTTGTCTTGGAGCAAGACATGGGCTGTTAACTGCTCCTGCTGTGCAGTCAGTCATTTGATGGTCCTTTGAATGGTAGCTGTATGGAGGTAGGAAGTGTGTTCAGCTTCCTAACCAAGGGATTGGTCCCTTTAATCTAGTAGTCCTGAAAAACAGGAGGATTTTGCCACAGATATTTAAGTAACTACACAAGACTGCAGCAGGTGTAGGAAGTAGTCTGAGTTTAGGAAAGTGGGAAGTGACCAGTGCAGGAGGGAAAAGTCATTGGAAGTCATTAGCAGAACAAGATTGGGAGAGAAGGCCTTGCAGCCCCAGGCATAGCTGCCCTGCTCTCACATGTGTTCCTAGCAGCTGGTAGCAGGTACTCTGTAAATATTACTGAGTGAATGAGAGAATAAGGTGCAGAGAAGCTGAGCAGGACAAAGATTGTCAGGAAAGTGGGAAATGGAAGGTTGGCTCTTTAAATGTCCATAAGTCTGAGTTTTAGAATTTGTTCATTTTTTTCTTAAAGTTACCTAGTTTATGTCATTGGAGAAATCCACATGGTGTTACCCAGAAAAACAAAAAGATCTGAAACAACCAGTATTTCTGTCACAGAATGGAAGTGACGATGGAAATTTTGTTTTGTTTTGTTTTGTTTTTCTTTTTTTTTTATTGTTGTTTACATTGTATTATGTGGTACAGTTTTATAGGCGCTAGGGATTCCCCCCACCCCTCACATACCCCTCCCCCCATGGTGGATTCCTCCACCTTGTTGCATAACCATAGTTCAAGTTCAGTTGAGATTCATTCCTTGCAAACACATGCCTAGCATAAAGTTCAGCGTCTTATTGTCCAGTTAAGTTCAGTGGCCTCTTGGGGAGACCTTCTCTGGTCTGAAGGTAGGGCTAACAGAGTAAAGATCCGGTCAGTTAAAAGCCCCAACAAAACCTCAGTATCAATATACAACATTATGGAATTAATTGACATAGTATTGGGTAAACAATATGTTAAAAATAATGCAAGTTCCATTCTTCGAAACATCTGGGTTGAGACAGTATCAATGACAGGTCCAAAAAATAACAAACAACCAAACAAAAAAATTACAGGTTAAATCAAGGCAAACATGTGGTATCTAACCTTTTGGGATTCGCTCATTTCCCTTAGCAAAAAGCTTTGGTTCATCTACTCCATGGAATACTACTCAGCTATTAAAAAAAACAAAATGCAGTTCTTTGTGGCTAAATGGGCCCAACTGGAGACGATGGAAATTTTTAAAGCTGGATCATTCTCTTGATTCATGATGAAGGAAAATGGATGTTTTGAAATCATGCTTATTACATGGTTCTCTTCTGTTCCATGTTTTTTAGGTGGCATCCCTAGCTGGCCCTGGAGGGCAAGTGGAGATAGAACAGAACTTTCTTAACAATAAACTGAAGACAATCACTGCATATTTTGGTGACCTGATCAGAAGACCAGCCTCTTAAACCTGATTGTGTGGCAGGACAAGGACAGAGGTGACACGGGTGAGGCACTTGGAATGTCTCCCTTCACTCACTGGCAGCGTGTACTCATGTTCTTCTATCGCCACCTAAAAGGGAGATTTATGGATGCTTCATGAATATGAATAATTACCTTGAGATTTTTGTATAGAATTGCCATGTATATTTTACGGTAGTGTAGTAAATGCTGTGAAAAAGGGAAGCTTCCCCCTGTGGTTAATTTCAGGGTGTGTCTGTTTTTCTAAAATTTTGTGTGCTTTTACATCTTTGTGGATGTGTATATAAAAACAATTACTGTGTTGTTGGTTCTTTTTTTTTTTTTAATATATGTAACAAAGACAACAAATAAGGTATATTCTACACATTTAACTGCTAATAAGGAAAATAATGTTAAATATTTCAGGCAGTGCCAAAGGTATGAAGTAAAATATTGAGTCTCCCGCCCCCTTCCCTACCCTGTATCTTTCTTTCAAAAATAATCACAGCTTAACAGCTTTTATAATTGTTTGGAGGACAGGGAGGAATTTCAGTAATACCCTATGACACTTTTTTTCTTTGTTGCACTGTTGAATTCTTGTTTTTTAACTTTATGTATTTTTTTAAATATGCAGATTTTTTTTTACCTTGCAGACTTTGTGTTTTACTGTATCTATAGATCTACCTCGTTTGTTTTCTTAATGACTGCTTTGCGCTCCATCATCTGGATGTGTTGTGAATTATTTAAGCAGTTCCTTACTAGTGGTCTTGAACTATTTTCAACAGTTTTGCACTGAGCTTGAATATGATATATATTACTAACCAAGTGTCCCCACAGGTTGGTACAGTTTGATTTTGGCAGATGGAATCAAATTGCTTCATTAATGATGGGCCCACTTACACTCGAACCCACACTAAAATGCACGTTTCCTTCCTTCCTCCCTAGCTGGCAGCATCATTGGGTATTTTAGTATCATGGGTGAGAAAAATGATATCTTACTTACTATATGTGTTCCCTTAATTATGAATAAGATTAGAGATATTTTCATGTAGTTCTTTCCAGTGAAATGTTTCCTTTGGAATATCATTTTCCTGTTAATACAGGTTCTGTATAACTGTGTCTTTAGTGGATGTGAAGATATGTCTTCCCAAATACTCCCTTTGGACATGTTTGGGTTGCTTTTATTTGTATATGTTTGAGCCACAGATAAGTCCTTAATGTTGATGTAGCCATGTTTTTCCTTTGTGCCTTCTGGATTTATGTCTTTCAAGCAGATTTCCTACTCCTAGAATACACACACTCTTATTTAGGCCTTCTACAGTATTCTTGTTTTGATGTCTTTGCTTCATTTGCAATTTGTTTTTTTAACATCCTTTTATTTTAAAAAGTTATAGTTTTTAAAATTTCCATTGTAGAATCAATATACAAAATGTTTTGTAATTGAATTTTGTACTCTTCTATTAAAGTGACGATGAAACAAGGAGGAATGTGTGCTTAATCATTCATCTAAAAAATGTGTTGTCATCTTTATGAGTAGATTAAAAAGAAGCATAAAACTGTGAGCAATGTATTTTGGATCTGAGAACTTTATCTTTTAATAATGTGAGCTGTTATAGAGGATGGCCAAAGCCATGAGACCTAACACCCAGGTGGGAGACCAAGAACAAGCTCCCAGCTTCAGAGCAGTGCAGCTCCAGCCCTTACAGCCTTTTGAGGAGTGAACCAGCAGATAGAACTGCTCACATTTACTCTATGTCTCTCTTCTCTCTCCCCCTCCCTCTCCCTGTTTCTCCTCTCCATAAATCTGATCTGCCTTTCCAATAAAAATAATCTTTTAAAAAATGAGCTTTTTAGATATTAGGCAAAATATGATTTGGGCTGAGATAGGGCTGAGTAAATTAAATAACTGGAGGACTTTTTAGTAAGCACTAGACAAAAATATCTTTTTAAAAAAGTTTGTTGGAGTGTGCCAGCTTACAGGTTATGCATAATTGGAACCAGCGTTGTGACATAACAGGTTCAGCTGCAACCTGCAGTGCTAGTCCCAGTTGCTCCAATTCAAATCCAACTCCCTACTAATGAACTAGAGAAGCAGTAGAAGATGGCCCCTGCACCCTTGTGGGAGATTCAGAGGAAGCTTCTGGCTCCAGGGACTTAGTCAGATTTGTAATGCCTTTATGAACTTTAAAAAACATTTGTTCATGGGCCAACATGGTAGCTCTGCAGCTAAACTACCACCTAAAATGTCAGCATCCGTATCTGGTTGCTGATTCCAGTTATGTCTAGTTCCATCAAATCGAGTTTCCTGCTAATGTGCCTGGAAAAGCTGCAGAAAATGGCTCAAGTAGTTGGGCCCCTTCCATCCATGTGACAGCCCCAGATGGAGTCCAGGGGTCCTGGCTGCAGCCTGGTGCGATCAGAAACATTGTAGCTATTTGGGCAGTGAACCATTGAAAAATTCTTTCTCTCCTTCTCTGCCTTTCAAATCAATGAACTTTTGAGTAAGAGTAAAATCTCCAGCCTATTTTTTTTTAAAGAAAATATTCATTTAAGGGTTATATATTTTCTCATGATATTTACTCAAGTTCTTTTATAACTTCTTTTAAGAATAATTCTGACAAAAGAAGTGAATGTGGCATAAAAATGCTTTTGTGCATTTGAGACATCTTTTCAAATGTTAGTATCTTATCTCACTACTCAGAAATTGACAAAATGTATCTACTACTACTGTAATAATGCCAAATCCTTGTCAATATACACTGTTACTTAATTTCTTAACTTGGCTAAGACAAAAAACTTGAAGCCATGGACAACAAAACGTTTGTCTCCCCTTAAGCATTCTGTGGTTGCCTAACTAATATCCTGTAATAGTTGCTTGTCTGCCTGCTACATAGCAGCTTGCAATCTCATAATAGTTGCTTTTGCAGAATACTATCTGCTGAACTGGTTTTCCAGGGTTCCTGATAAAACTGGACAGGACTGGCTGCAGCCAACATGGTAACTGGAGTCTGCACAGACCAGCTCAGGCAGATCAGTGTTCCTTATGAATGATTGTAATACTACATGCCACACCTCCCCTAGCATTTCAGTGGCTATTGTTCAACTTGGGATATATGGGAAAAAATTGTACCACCCCTTTCCTCTCAGCAGTCATACTGTGTCACTTGTTTCACCCAGTTCTGTCCCAATTACCCTAACTCCATACATTCCCAAGCCTCTCTGTGCATGGGCAGATTGCCTTGGTCTTGATGTGGCCTGTCCCTTTTTCCAACAGGTCTGTAGTAGAAATAAATACTTGGGGACTGGCGTATAGCAGGCTGTCTCCTGCCATGCCAGTATCCCATAAGGGCGCTGATTCAAGTCCTGGCTGCTCCACTTCTGAACCAGCTCCATGCTAATGTGCCTGGGAAAGCAACAAGAGAAAGCCCTATACCTTGGGCCTCTACTATCATACAGGAGACCCAGAAAAGTCCCTGGTTCCTGGCATTGGCCTGGCCCAGACCTAGCCATTGCTGTCATTAGGAGAGTGAACAACCAGGTGAGAAATTCCCTTTCTTTACCCATGTGTGTCTGTCCTCTCCTTTCAACTGCCTTTCAAATAAATAATAAGTATGTTGGGGCTGATGCCATGGCATAGTAAGTTCAGCCTCAGCCTGCAGTGCTGACATTCTGTATGGGTGGTCATTTGAGTCCTGGCTGTTCCACTTCCCTTCCAGCTTCCTGCTAATTGCCTGAGGAAAGCAGTAGAGAGCAGCACAAGTACTTGGTTCCCTCTACCCATGGGGAGATCAGGAAGAAGCTACAGGCGCCCTGGGCTCAGACCAGCCCTGCCCAACAGTTATGGCCGTTTGCGAGTAAACCAGCAGATTACTGATCTCTCTCTTTCCTTCTCTTTCTGTAAATCGGTCTTTCAAATAAATATTTAAAACAAATCTTCAAAATAAATACATATCTACTCACACTTTCTCAGAAGGTAAAGCCAGTGTTTTTATAACTAATACGATATGCATGAGCAGAGGGCCCTGACACAGTGATGATCAGAAGTGAAAAGTCCCTATCTATTTGCAGTTGCACACTAATGTAAAAAAGCAGGCTTCCACTGACTGCCTACAAAGAACACATGTCACATTCAGGGACATGGGTGATAAAGATGCCCAAGACCCTGGAGGAGCTAGGAAGTGGGCCATAGCTGTGTGCCAGGAAGATGCCACCCTTTGCACAGGCTGACATGTTATCGCAGGTGGAGACATTTAAATACAGTACAGATTTTCCAGGTGGAAAAAAAAAATTGAAACACATTCCAAGATAGGAAGCACCATTTCCAAGGCACAAAGGCTAAAGAAGCTCAAGGATAGCCAGGCATCATTCGCGTTGAAGTCACCGAGAAGTTGCTGAAAGTCGGGTCTCCTTTGCCAAGCCCCAGAGTACTGGCTGCCAGCTCAATGCAATGAGAGCCTTTTAGGTTTTGGAGCTTTGAGAAGCCCAAGGTCCTTTTTCAGAAATATATTTGAAGGCATGGACTAAGTCTGTGGTTACTATGGCTGCAGCAGCCAAGGCTGGGCCAGGTTGGAAGCCAGGAGCCTGAAACTCCATCTTGGTTTCCCACACCTGGGCCATCCTCCACTGCCTTCCCAGGTGCATTAGCAGGGAGGTGAATTGTAAGTGGAACTGCAAAGACTCAGTGACACTCATGTGGGATGCTGTATTGCACTAGTGGCTTTATGGCCTGCACCACTATGCTACTTTATTCTTATTTTCATTTTTATTTTTATTGGAAAGTCAGGTATGCAGGGAGGAGGAAAGAGAAAGATCTGTTCACTGTTCCCTCCTCAAGTGGCCACTATGGCAGAAGCTCAGCCGATGCGAAGCCAGGAGTTTCTTCTGAGTCTTCCATGCAGGTGCAGGGTCTCAAGGCTTTGCCCATTCTCAACTGCTTTCCCAGGCCACAAGCAGGGAGCTGGATGGGAAGCAGACCCACTGGGATTAGAACCAGCACCTTTGGGATCCTGGCATGTGTAAGGCGAGGACTTTACCCAGTAGACTACCGTGCCGGGCCCTAAACATGCTTTTCATTTAGAACACAGTGCATGGCAAATCTACCGCAGAGTCTGCTAGCTAGTACAATGTCATAGTCACACATATAAACGATGTTTCAAAAAAAATAAAACAGCTAAAGTGCAACATAGAAATTACATAGAAAATATTTACATTTCTACTATTGACGCTGGTGTTCCACTGTACAGTAGAATGACACAGTGGCATACAATAGAAGCATTTGCCCAGATTTGAATATTGCTCAATGTATGCATGTATCAAAACATCACATGGTACCCTATAAATATATATGCTTCATTTGTATATGTCAGTTAGAAAAAGAAATAGAATCGGGCCAGAGCAGCAAAAGGAGAGTCCCTACCCACAGCCCGTGAGGAGCCCCATGGTGCTGCCCAACGGAGGGCAGACTTGAGGAAGCCTCGGGAGGGCAAGGCGGGTCAGAATCCACCTCATGTGCCAGACTGTACTCTTGCCGCCCACCTGTGATTCCTTGATGCTTTTTATGCAAGAGAAAGTGAGCTGATTCTCAAGATTTGACTGGGGGAAGCGTTCTATAATTAAATGAGGTGCCTAGTGGAAATACTTTTTTAAAAAATGACTAACGAGCACGATCTAATCAGCACCTGCCAGAAGGAATATGACATCAGCCACAAATGCAGCTTTACATTTTCTGGCAGTTGACATTTGAAAAACGAAACTAAACAAGTGCAATTTACTTTAATTATATATTTAATGCTATCTCAAACACTATTGTCTCAACGTATAATGAATATAAACAATTATTCATGAGAAACGTTGCTGTTTCCTCACTGAGTCGATTATCTCCAGGGTATATTTTAAACTTACACCATGTTTGAAGTAAGTATGCATACCCCCAGGTGACTGTTAAGGTCTCCCACTTAAATAATGCAGATGGAGATTTCTTAAACAGAAAAAGAACAGTTTCACATGTTGAGACTTTGAGTACTTTACGAGTCCATGTAAAAGAATAACGAAGTTAAGATTGCATTTTTTAGGCAAGAAGGAAACATAAAACCTGAATCCAGAAAGTAAAATGAATGGGTTTGCATTTTACCTCTTACAGATTAGTCTGCTGCAGTCTGGCAAGAGTATAAGAAACCAGGCTGAGCATCTGGCATAGTGGTTACTGGGAACACCCACATCCAGCCCATGGGTTCACAGCCCAATCCTCTTCTGAACCGGGCTTCCTGCAGTGCACACACTGGAGGCAGTAGGTGATGGCTTGGATGGCTGCCTCCCTGCCACCTGCCTTACAGACCTGTGTTGAGTTCCGGGTGTCTAGCTTCAGCCTGGCTCAATGCTGACCACTGTGGGCATTTGAGCTCTTTCTCTGACTCCCTCCCCTCTCTGCCTTTCAAATAAATGACCTTAAAAATGTTATTTGAAGGAAAATGTTAGAGAGTGG